ATATTTGAATTATTTGAATAATTTGAACATATGCTGTAAAATTATTTTTCAATTTTAAGAAAAATTAGGATGCTCACGTTACACAGGGTGGAAAAATAATAATATATGCCATAGAAGTAGAATTTTGTGCTATCTAAATCAAAATTAATGATAATTATATAACAAGATTCATGAAAAGTCCTACGACTTTTTGTTAATAAAACCTCCAACTTTTTTTACTTTGTCATGATATATGAATTTTAATGTAAATGAATTCAGTACTCACATATACAAAAAATCAGTAATATGTGGGCAAAGATAGTCTAAACACATTTCAGTACTCATCGTTGTTTACTTACTATGTCTACTAGTATTAAATATTAGATCTGCCTTGAATTAAATTTAACTTATATCACTTAGAATATTAAGATACCAAAACGGAATATACTGCTGGATGACATAAGTCTGCTTGCTTTGGTCATTTCTGTTGTAAGCACAACATATGTTTCACTATTGGTAAACCGGTATCTTTAAAATTAATAACTTATAAGACATATATGGAACAGTTTATGTTTAAATTTGAACTTTATTAATTGGATAAAATTTTGTATTCTAATATATATATAATAATTGCCACGCATATTGTTATGAGAATACAATTTTTCGCTATTTTTTCTAAAGCTAGCATTTGTTTTAATTACACTGTTTATTGTGTTTCGTGTGCAAAGAATTATTGAAACTATATTTATATTAGCATCTGTAACCTACTAAGTCATATAGAGAATTACACATATTATAGTATATAGCTTATGATTGAAGTATAGCTTAATATAATCTTAATAGTACTTTCCGATTTTGAATAAAATATATATCATTTTTTTAGTATTCACAAAATTTATTTTGCTTTTCAAGAAATTAGTATTGGATCAGTTCCAAAAATATGAATGTACAATTTTCTAGTAGCCTTAATTTTAGTAACTCTTACACTAAAACACTAAGATCAATAAAAACTTAATTCTTCTGTATAATATTGTAATATAATTAATCGTCATGTACTTATAATAGTTTTTATATAGTTAGAGTAGTTACAAAATTATTTATATATTCAAGTTTTAGGCTCTATAGGTTTTAGTAATAATAATTGTTTTGTTTAATGTTGGTTTACGGACTCTTAAATCGAGAATAATATGAATTAAAAATTATGATTTGATAATTTTCATGAATCTTTTGATCGTGTGAATAAAAAACGTGGTAAAATAATATTCAATACAGAAATTTAATGAGATTCACATTAGATAAACAAATTAGTTGGATTCAATATATGACGCACTTATTTTTAAGATTTTCTTTCAAATATTTGAGAAAACAATCGATTGTGGCGAGGACGAAAAAGAAGAGGCTGAATAAAGCTCTTACTTTGGAAACGGAATTTGGAATTGAAATGAAAAAAATTTATAAAGTAATTAAAAATATGATATTACTTATCGATTGCATTTAAATAAGAATACAATTAGGTAAGGAAACAATACTAAAATCAGCCGCTCAGGTAGGCAAGTATGTTAAGTTTATTCCCGTAGGCAAGACTTTCCTCGTGCTATTGACCGTCTTTCATTCTTTCTTCTTATACTTCTTGTTCTCTTGATTTCGCTTTCCCTAGCTCTGTGAAAATGTCAATTTAATTATGAACCTTCACGTAGATGCTTTTTCGCGCATGGCCTATCTCCTCGGGGCATCCAAGTACTTCCCACTTTCCGCCTCATAACTCGCTAAGCTCGAAAAATGGGAGCGGTAAAACGTAGAATAAAAATACAGTAACAACGGGTTCGGCAACGAGGAAATAGAGACCTTTAGTCTGCAAAAAAAAGTAAAAATGACCAGGAGGGCGCGAGATAGGAGCAGGAGGAACGATTGCAGCGCAGCTGCATATCGATCACACCGACAGAGAGGGGAGAAAACTCTTATACGCTTTTGCAAGTAATACTAGCGTTACTATATATATGTATTAGCAGCTGCAGAAAGGAAGCAAAAGGTAGAAAGAAAGGAAAAAGAGAGGGGTGATGCGAGAGAAAAGAGACGAGAAAGCGCGCAATACTTTGCTCTCTACGATACGCGTAATCCTAGGATACTTGTTATTATTTTTTGTTTAACGTCGTGCCCTCGAGAAAACAATAGCGGAACGAGCAATGCGAGCGCGTCGTTGCACTAGCCTCGATTCCGTAGCCTCGGGTACGGTTTTAACGATGTGCTCGGACATAGACGCAAGAGAAGGAAAAAGTGAGTTAGAGAAGTGAAGAAGGCCGAGAGAGAGAGAAAGAGAAAAAGGTATATATATATATATATACAGAGAGAGAGAGAGAGAGAGAGAGAGAGAGAGAGAGAGAGGCAGAAACTAATTTCCCCGATGCACACCTCGTTGTTCCACGATCGTCGAGCCTCGTCTCCCATTAGCTCACATTCTCCTCCAGTACTCTCAGTAGTCGACAACACAGAAAGGGAGAAGAAAGAGCGAGACTGAGGTAGCGCCATTTACGGGGCGAATGAAACCTCTGCATCTTTCTAAAGTTTTCTATCTCTCTTTCTTTATCAAAAGCGAACTTAAGTAAAAGGCCCACTACCATCTCGCTTGTACGGACTCCCCTATACTAACCACTTCTATATCTTGAGCAATTTTATTAAGATTCTTCTCGCCGTTATAATTATTCGCAAACTAATCGATAAAAACTTTTCTCATCTTTCTGTTGCATTACCCAACCAACGAACTCCCTAGAACTGTATGTTTCCGGGCTCAACCATACGTAGGAAGTACTTAGAACATTTATTTTTGAACAACTTAACAAATTCGTGTTAAGTTGCGCTAAAAGTTATGATCATGTCAATAACGAAAAATGAATGGTAGAGTTACATTGTGATCAGTGGCGAACGATGGAAATCAAGTAGTATAGCTCAACTGCCAGTTCACCAGATGTTTCACTCGGCAATTTACGTAAATTGTTTTATCACCCCTCGTTCAATTTCTCCCACTCAAATTATCTCTATTTCTTTCTCTTTTTCTCTAACTTTTCGAAGTTATCAGATTTTCAAAACGATTTTCAAATAAAAACAATCTTTATTTCTAAGTCTATAGTTCCCTGTTAATCGTGTTGAATCAATATCACATACCATTATAACCATTTCTGGACATTTTGCTTCTTGAATTTGATGAAAATGATGAAGCTATAATTCATTGAATAGTTTTAATATTATTTCATCTATCGAAAAATTTTTTCAATGTAAACATTTCGTGCAAACGATTTGCACTATTATGTTATGTTCGAATGTAAAACCACTTTCTCGCATTTTATTAGCTAATATATTAATATTTTATCAGATATAATAAAGGAACCTCGCAGCCAAATATATTTTGATCAACATTTATTTCAAATTCATTACAAATTTAAGATTAATAGTTACCAACCATTTTTTAGCAAATAATTTGTTAAAATTTTAATACCTGATAATGAAAATTGCAAATTTATTGAAAACTATTAATCATTCTGAGTTACTTAACTTATTAATTAAAACTCACGAAATATTCTGTAAAAAGAGTATAAGTATCACGAATTATTAAAAGATTCTAATTGTATCCAATCGTTTGTGGCAATGAACCATTTTAATAAAGGCATTGTACTAATTATAATATTATTTAGTGCTATACTAATGAATGAACCATGATAAAATCTTCAATATATTTATTAAAATTATTATTCATTATTAATATTATTTTTATTATTATTTATTTATTTAAATTTATTCGATTCACACACAAAAATCAATTATATTACTTAATAATATACATTTGTAAAACTTTAAATTTAGAAGAAATATTTTTTTGTGTATTCAAAAGTACCGTCTATTTAGCTATTATATTTGTTGATTTTTAGATGATAAGCGGGTAATAGGATGACACAATTTCAATATACGTATTCCGTGAATATAAATCAAATACTCTCAATATAGATTTTTTTTTATTTTCACTTTAGACTTAGTGTTATATAGAATAATCAATGAATACTTTGGTGAATTAATCTTTATTATGGAATAATAGATAAATCCCATATTTATAATATTTCGAAAAGAAAGATCAATGATTGTATCTTGCACAACATATAGAGGTTAATTTTTGAAAAGTTTAAAGATTGTGGCAATAATTAATCAAGTTATACTTTGGTTAACTTTTCTGTTTGACCAATTCCTATTTAATTAGTGTCCATCATAATTATGACGAGCATGTTTAGTATTTTTGGTTACTCAATGAGCTTATAGCTTGAGGAATTGAATATATACAAATTAGCCAAGATGAGCATAAATTTTTTATTCTTGTGATTAACATTGCAGATATAGGTGATTTATATAGGAGTTACATAGGTTTATATAGGAGATACAAACAAGGAGATATAGGTTTGTTTCAGATCTGATGGCTAAGAAAGTCAGAAATATTTGTACAGGACAGTCAGTGATGCGAGAGATTTGTCAGGCCGACGAAATTTTCATGAGAAAATTTCATGCAATCTTGTGGTTTCATAAAAAACAAAAAAAAGAAGAAACGGCGTCCCTCGAATGGCGCCAGTTTCGATCCGGAGACGCGTCGTCTCGGAAATCTCCAAGTCCGCTAGCTTCCGTTCTTCCCTGTTGCTGGTGCTAGTGGAAGGGGTTGATGGCGAGAGGTACCTGTCCGGGAGCGCGTCGGTGGGGGCGCCTGCGCGCGGAAGCTCCTGAATGCGTGACGCTACGATCAGTCGCAGCCGGCGCCGTGTGTGACATGTAGCGCGGTTTCCATGGGTCTTCTAGTATTTTGTTCGCGCGCGCGCTTTATCTCTCTCTCTTACTTTTAGTCTACGCGCACTCGCGCGTTTATTGCATTCCCGCCGACGTATGCGCTTGTCGTTTTGCTGTCAATACGCGCTCCGCACGCATGTGCCGGCCTTGCAGCGGCCGAAAAGAATATAGTCGAGGAAGTAGCAGCAGCAGCGACGTCGGCAGCAGCGACGTCGGCAGCAGCGGCGGAGGCAGTCCGACACGAGGACGAGGACTCGACGCGCTGGGAGGAACATGCTGACCAGCCGCTTCACTAGATCGACTCATCTTGCAGGTAATTATTTCTAAATCTAAATCTTTCTTTTGTTCCTGCCTTGTTTAATTGGATTCAGACTATGAAAATTTTGTTATCGGGTAGTGCGTTGCTGCGGACCATACTAAGATGCTGCGTAAAAGAATATTCAATACCAAGATAATTACATAATTAGAGTTCCCGTTTTATGTTTTATTTTTTTCTTCTCCTCCCCCATCTCTCAATTGCTTATTCCTTTTTATTTACGTGTCTTTATTATATCTTTCTTGTTCTCGTTCTCAGTTATTTCCTCGTATCGTTACATCGACCGTAAAAAACGTAGCGCACTTCTTTCTATCTCGGCCTCTCTTCTCTTTTCCTCTCTTATTCACTCCTCCCCAACTCTTAGTACATATATATTCTACATCTGACATTTTAATAGCATATTGCTTCTTTTATGAGGGTGAACATAGATTTCGTCAAAATTTCATGAATCGTCCTTCTTAATGTAATCGAGCTCTTTCATCCCCGCTCAACCGAGACCACCTTTTCTTTATCCTTCATACTTATTTATCTTTCTTCTTGTATGCACGAACTCCTATAATGTTTACACAAGTTGCTTTTCAGTTATGTATATATTATCATACTGCTCGAAAAAAATAATATATTTTTAAGCCCATATACTTTATTTAATTTTAAAAAGTTTTTATGAATATTTAGACGACTCTAGAGTTTAAATTTTAGATTAATATCATTAAAATTTACATTTCATATATTACTTATATGTTTATATTAAGTTTAATTAAATTTGTTCTTTTTTAATATTGTTATGGCATATCAAAGTAGTAAAAGAAACTAATTCGTCTTATAAAAGATATTAAAATGTAGAAGTAAACATATTTCATTTTAGCTTGTTCTATTAAATTGAAAAGACAATTACTTATAATAAATTACTTTCCGAATTCAATTCAAAAAGTTATATTCTTAATAACTATTTTAAGTGATTGGTTTGACGTCTAAGACCTGAAATATTGAAAATGTACAGGATTTATTTTAATTCTGCTATTTGCTGAACTACAAAACTCAATTTTTTTTCAAAACATCTTTTCATTTTAATTATAATGAAAGGATGAAATTATAGCAGATCGGCGCTTGATTAAATTTTAAAGTAGTTAGAGCTTTAATTACCATTCAAGCAGAAATAGACGAGGCACTAATGTGAATTTAATCCAATTTCATCTCGAGTGCATGAACGAGGAACATAGAAAAGGTTGGAGTTATAATTTCGCGATCAAGAGGAAATATTGCGGAGTAACAAAAAAGGTACTCTCACGTACAAAATATCAGGCACAATGAGTAAATGTTTATCTGGATCAAAATACTAAAAATTTCATAATATATATGGATAATATAATATATTGGAAAATACGTTATCTAATTTTCACGTGGGCATGTAATCAAAGTGACATAACATCTGGTGCAAGCTTTTTCGTACGATAATATCTAGGATAACGAGAAAAGCGTAACCATACCATAAATTATGCTTTAATTCATTTCCTTCGTGAGTACATTAATATATTCGCGGTCTTATAGTGTCTGCAGTAATAAATACTTAGGTAACAGAAAATAAATAGACTTTCTACTTGATTCTATATTAACAATGCTGTAGACTTTGAAAATCTTCCGAACTCAAGCTTGCTAATTCCTATCTTACATATTTGAAAGGGAGATAGGTGCTGACTTTTTGCGCGCATCGTTATGTATCTGAGAGAAAAGATATTAGTGTGTGAAAAAATATTGAGAGAGAAAATGGATGTAATAAAGGAAAGGAAGAGGGAGGTCTTGACAGGCTTCACAACTTAAATTCGATACTACTATTCGGTGTCTCGATCAACTATTATTTATGCTTCCGACGACGCTCACAATGAGAAACTGGAAGAGATGCAAAGCGATAGGTTGGCCAGCTTGACACATAGAAGTACTGAGGTGGTAGACATGACATACAGAGGCGTTGAAAGAGAGTCACGCATTTTAATAGAAAATGGGAATTTCGAAGAGAGAAGTCAGATCCAATTTACTATTTCTCTGGGGATGAAAGGGAAGAGAGGTTGGTGATAAATATCTTTAAACATATGGTCTAAACCAGTGAGACTCTTGAGACATGCCTATATATATGTTAAATCAAAAAGTGGTTTTATTTTTTATCTCACAATGTACATACACCAAGCGTACATATACATATACATAAATAGAATTAAAAGTCTGCTCTCCGTCTGCTTGTTTGGCTAATATTGTTATTCAATCGACCCGCAAGACAAATGGCGTGCAGATGGAATAGCAATATCCTCCGGCGAAATGTTTATGCTTTCATACATGCAACCAGGCAGATTTTCTTCCTTCAGCTTTTTCTACTTTCAACTTTCCCCTTCTCTTTTCTTCTTGACTCGTGCTTATACCAATCCTCTTGTCTAGCGCCTTTCGATTATCGTGATTGTCGTCACGTTGTCACTCTTTTACTTAAAGAAAAGCTTTGCACAGCTAGGAGAAACGCAGGAGAAACTTGAGCCTGAGTACGTCGATCGATAATAACACCCAGCATCGCGCAACAAAAAGTTTGCCGTTGTTATTTCATTTCAAGTGCGGAGTCGTGTAAAGAATGAAGGGAATCTTACAAAAAAGTTTAAGTATTATTTTAGACTTTTGCATTGTTGCCATGGGTGCTTTGTCTTTCAGTTCGAAATGATTACATTTTCAAAAAAATGAAAAATCAATTTACGTGACAGCGTTCTGTTTCAACGTTCAAGAATCCGTCGGTGAAGAAATTTCTCTTTCGCTTGAATTCCAGGAACGCTGTTTATCATTTGAACTATTGGAAAAATTCTAGTATTTTCAATACACGAATAGTCCTATTGTAGAATCCGAATCACTGTTGGAATGTTGACTTCCAACATCGCAAAAGCATGCATCCAACAGCCTGAACTTTGTATCGCGTGAATGTCTTTCTGCCTCCTCATGATTCGTTATTAGAATTTGATAGACCTGTCAATGTATTGGCATCTACAGCAATTATTGAACATCAATATGATATCGTAAATAAAATCAGATCAAGCATAAATAATTTTTTTATACGAAGAACACATGAGCCTGAGAGGTCACAAAAACTATATGGGTTCTTAGTCATCAAATCTATCTGTACACGAAGGCGATATACTAAATATTTTTGTTCGTACTGGTCTTACAATTTTTATATTCTACTGAAAATCTGCATTTTTCAAACTTTTCCCTTCCGTTTTGCCCTTTTTACTATTGAGCTTAAAATCTCCCTCCTATATATGTGTAAATAAAAAAAACCTCTCAAATCTTTTCATTTGTATCCTGCACGCAATTCTGATTCTCTTTCACCCTTTCTTTCTACTTCCGAGCAGTACAAGAAATTTGAGATTTGTACTTCCAGGTGAATAACTATAAACCCGAAAAAAATTCCATTACGTTTGAATGCTTAAGTTGTAATGGTATGGCATGATACCATTGGCCGGCACGAAATCAACGTAACTGCACACGTGAGACATTTGCGGAATATTATGTGGGTATCTTTTCCAATTTAAGGCAGTACTGAATTCAATTTATCTAAAATTTTTCTTTGCTACAGCTATATCCTTTTTCTTTCAATACTTTTAATGCTTTCTGCAGTTTCTACAACCGTAACAACTTGATTTTTTTCTCTTACCTCTCTAAGGCGAATGAATATTAGCTTAATCGATAACAACGTAGAATCGGTGCACAAAACATTTTTTTTTTGACATTATTTACCTCAGCGCTGCACAAAACATCACCTACATTAAAGTTAAGTCAATTTTGTGAGGTCGTGCTCTTTTGCGAATTTGTTTTCTTTTTGTTTGTCTTGGTTATAACGAATAGAAAAGTTAATTTATCAAAATTTACATGTTCGGAAAAAATACCGGTTAATGTTTTATTTTATATTTGATTTCCATGCTATTAGTATTGCTTATAAATTAAAATGACAATTATTACAATATGTGATCGTTAAAATAATGTATAGATACTAATGTTATTATTTATTATATTATTTATTTATTGAAAAAAATTCTTTCAATTTCGAATATTGAATAAAAATGCTATACTGTTCATATTATAAAATCCAAATTGTCACATAATTGTAATTTTATAATATCTTCCAAAATTGTTATTTTACTTTATAATAATAAGTATTTTATCTACGCTATCTTAAAATAATATATATTATATCAATTTTTTTATTATTTATTAGTTATGTAAGATATCAATTGATTAAAAAATTTTTGTATAAAGAAAGAATTCTTTATACTGACTAAGCACACTCTAAAGGACTCTCTCTAAAGGACACACTCTCTTAGGAAGCATTCTATTTTTTTGGTATTATCTTAGTTACAAAATTATTATAATTTTACGTAAAAATTATACTTATTAATTATTTACTTTTACCCAAATTACTATTACCTATGAATTGCAGTATAAAATTACCTGTAATTATGAAAACATTATTTACTTGAAATATATCCCAGATTTAAAAATATGTTATTTTCAATAAAATGTTTTAATATAATATATAGTATAATTTGAGGACTTTATTTTCTTGTAAAAAAATCGGATTACAGTTTATTACAATTAATATAAAATTTTGTATAACGTTAATCATTATACTTAACAATCAAAAGTTTTAACAATATAAGCTGGAATAAATTTTCGACTTAAATGTAATTCATAAATTATATTTAATAAGAAGCATAAAAATAAACTGTATTTATTAAATATATTTAGAAAACTAAAAAAGTTTAAATAATCCTCAAACATTTTATATTATATTTTGTATGGCATAAATTGATTATATTTATTATTCATTTTTTTATTTAATGCATGTTGTTAAATTTATTTTAAATACAGAGAATATATTCATGAAGATATTTTACAGACATATCAATAATACCATTAGACAGAGGAAATATGAAATTATCAATGTTTTATGGATATAAATTTGGAGGTTTTAACGTATACAAAATCATGTTTTCATGTCACTTCTGATATACAATTTTTTCATCTACAATGTATTCGACTAATATATACTAGCAAAAATATGAATTTCAATTATTAAAAGCTATTCACATATATTAGTAAAACACGTTATTTAAGTTTTGAATTAATATATTATAATATTTGTAAATACAAATTTTTTCATAAATTTATACATAATCTTGATTAACTTGAAAGCAACTATTTTGTTTGGATTTTGCATGAAATATTTTTTCGGCTTATTTATCTTAATACAAAGAAAGTAATTAGATAATCTTATTACTTTAAATATTGTATAAATAACTTTAGTATTTAAAAAATAAAATGTACTATTACTAGAATAACTTATTTATGTGGATATTTATAATATATTTCATCTTGATATTAATTTAAAAACAATTTTTTAATGATCTTTGTTATTAAATGAAATACAGAGCGTAATAGTACAGTGAAAGGTAATTGAAATGAAGTGGGTTATTGAATGTACTGTCCATGAGCACCATATGTGTAAAGAAAAATACATGAAAATAATATTAAAAAATTCTAGATACCTCCAGCACTGTCATAGCAGATGTATTACGGACGTTGACGATTTCACTCATTAGAATGCTCTGTCACAGAGAAAGAAACTAACGCAAATATTACTGCTTAATGAATGAATACGCGTTGTCTGTCGTCAATTCTCATTAGTTTCATATCTGAAATTTTGAAAGTCGGCAAGCCGGAAATCGTCTAAAGAAGAGTAAACGGAACATCGAGCTCAAAGAAAACCCAAAAAACCGATAAAAAGTAAGAAGAATAAGATGAAGTTAAGTTTAATGCAAGAGTAACGATGAAAGGGACAAACAGGAGAAAAATAGACGAGGATAGGGAAAAGCGAGAAGTAGTGTGATAATATATTTCTTTCTAAGTGGAATGAGATATGCTGATGAAAACTTAAACACTGCAGAAGATTTTAATTCACTCCATTGTATCTTGCGTAGTCGGTTTTCTTTATTATGCTCATTTCACTATTAATGTCCTCGCAAAAGATAAATTCTTTATTCTCCTCTAAAGATTGTTATGCCGATGATTGTTTCCTAAATTCTGAATGGACAGTCGCATAATTAAATTCAATTATTAAAGTGATGATATGAAAGAACAGTGGGACGTGTGATGCTATTAAATACCGTTCGATTAATTTGCATGCGATATCGATATGTATTAATAGTCTCGTCCTTTTCCGCTAGAAACTGCTGCGCGTGCGTTCACTAGATAACAGCCAGCTGATCCGCGTATGCGTACGTGAATTCGATTTTACTACAGTGAGGAATTCCGAGCTGGGTCCCTACTCATTAGTTGCCGCTTGCAGCACGTGCGTCAGCATAGACTAGTCTACCGGAAATCTACAGGAAAGCAGACCTGATTCATTATTATTATTCTGAGTACAATATTGAAGAAAAAAAAGAGAGTCGGTATAACGAGTGTAAAAGGAACTACCCTAGGGATAAACGACGTCCAAGGCAAGTGCAGTTGGCGGTTGTCAGGTGCAGAAGAGGGAGGAACAGTCGAACAAAGAACAAGATCAGACGTACATTTGCCGACGATTGCCAAGCGCCGTGGGGAGAGTCTTGAGAGTACCTGAGTCCAGACGATGAAAGTCGCGGTTTGCGTGCGATGGATGAAAGGGTCGACCAACCAAGAAGTACGAAGAGAAAGATTGGGGGAGGATGAAAAGCTTAGTCAAAGGGAGCGCGCATAAAGCGAACAGCGCTTCCACTGGTCAAATAGAGATTACTGTTAAATTTTTTACCAACTTACGAGGACAACGACTTCTGAGAAAATTTATACGTTCATCCGCCTGGGGCCTCTAGATAAGATACCAGGCCCGGATGATGAAGTTCCCCTGGGAAATCAATGCTGCAAACGAAAGTCAGCACGTCCTTATTATTACCAATAGTGGTGGTGCCATTGTCGGATCCCATTTAAATTATAATTTTTTATCTCATAAATTTTATGCAATCATTTTCTAATATATCATTGAATAAACCGACAACCGGCTGAACAACCGCTTCATTTTACTTTTTTCTGTAAAACAAATGGACAGAGAGTACGCAAGTATATCTAATTTGAAGTTGTAAGAAGGGAATATTTACTTAAAACAGATCATTCCCCATACTTATCTTAAGTTTTTGATCTTTTAAATATACGATAAAGTAAATACGACTTTCCAATTAAATTATAGCCCAAACTTTTGAATCACTATGATTTTTAATCTTATATATTTATCTTGATTATGCTTTTTTACATAGTAATATATTTACCATTTAAATATCATTTACTTATTCAGTCACGAAGAACGATATTTCATAAAACTAATTTAACGCGAGAATATTTTATAATATTTTTACTTGTTCTATTTTATTTAATAACCACTTACAAATAAAAAATTATGTGGGTGTTTGTATATAATAGGCATTTAGCATGAAAGAGAAAGAAAAGGAGAAGTAACAGGAAATGTTTTCAATTTAAGTTTAACTATAAATATATAACTTGGATATTTTTCTATTAATATTATGCTATTAATTATGCTATTAATATTTTAAGGGAGAATTCTAAAAATTTAGGCAATAAAAATATTAATAAACTAATATTTTTTATGGATTTACCTTTAATAAATAATAACCATGAGTTTACACTTTGTAATATTCTTATAATTAATAAGTAAATAGTAATTAGATTAAAAAATATACTTTAATAGAGCTCCATACCACGCATAGATTATGATTTTTCTACCATTTAGTGCACGTGCTGCATTAAAAATGAGTCTATTATCTATTTACAATAAAATCTGTTTCTATAGATTAAATTTTAAAGATTCAAATATACTATTGATTCAGGGACAACTAAACTTTGTAATAACAGAAAAAATATACGAATCAATTTATATGTGTATATTTAAGAATTACAATTTAATACAAACTCAACAATTGAAAATAAAATTTCTGTTTGTCTTACTGGAACTATTGTGTTGTTGAAAATCTAATTGAAAATACTTTTTTAAATTTCAAATGTATGTAATAATTTTTAATACATAAATCTGTATTTATATAAATTGCGCAATTAAATATTTATTTCTAAAAGTACTGTCTAAATACTATACAAACAATAAAGCATCCAAATTTACGTTTGAAATATTACTAGAAAATTAAATTGATTATTCAATTATTTGTATTAAGTTTCCTCAGAAAATAATTTGATTATTTTCTGGAACATAATAAATGATTACATTTCTGATAATTTTCCATCTAAAATAAGTTCAAGATACTTCAATTAAAAATTTTTTAGTGATTTGAAAATAAATCTTACAATCTGCTTGATAGTATTTATTTAACCTATTTATGGAAACTTTATTTTTTAAATTTGATACAATTAGTTTTTATAGTTGGTGTTGAAACCGAAATTAGTGACAAAGGTATGTCTGAAAGCTTACTAATAAAAAAATAATACCTTTATCTTGATTTACTGCAAAAGGAAATTAACGTTAAAAAATATTGTATAAATTAATGTATAGCAGATGTAAATATTTTTTGTATGTCTGATAATCAGTCTTCCACATCTTAATTGTCATCTAGTGTTCGTTAAACTTGTTGCTATAATACCTGCTCTCAAAAATTGCGACAACCAAAATAACTTATTGATTAAGGAGAGTAACACGATGTTTCTTATCTTTAGGTGTATACCTGCTGCTGCTTACGTGTTCGTGCAGCGGTTTCGACGCTCACTTGCGTGGACCCAGCTTCCTCATTGAACCGTCTTCGAGACTCGAGTTTTCAAATTCGAGTGGCGCCTGGTTGGACTGTGCAGCAACTGGAAGTCCACCACCCAACATCGATTGGTCTACGGCCGATGGTCTACCTGCAGGCGATGTACCAGGAATACGAAGACTTCTTAAAAACGGTACCCTCGTGCTTCTGCCCTTTCCTGCTGCAGCTTACCGACAGGATGTCCATAGTGCGACCTACAGGTGTGTCGCTAGTAACTCGGTTGGAAGGGTTCTCAGTCGCGATGTGCAGGTGCGCGCAGGTGAGTAGTGTAATTAATATCTTTTATCATTTAAGCCTCTCACTTTGACTCATCGCACGTGTAGGACATTGGAGAGCTATACGGTCTTATTTAACTGTTCTTACATGCATTAGTATTGAATAATAATTGAAAAGCTTGTGTTTAATATTATATAAACATTTTCTTATTATTATAACTTTCTTTTAATTTTTTTATTTATTTACATAATAAAAAAGGTAAATTTTAAAGTTCTTTCATGGAACGACGTGTCAGGTGTTCATTTGTAGTTGTTTAAGTGCTTACATTTCAAATAATAGTGCATAATTTACATACCATTATTGAGTTTCTCGATACTTTCTGTAGAAAATAAAAATATTTATATAAAAAATACAAATACTATATATAAATATAAGAAAACCATTAGGTTAAACAAAGTAAGTTTAATTTTTTTGCTATCAAATTATTTGCAAAGCAGTATTAAAAATTATAATATTTACTAGAATAAATTAATAATTATTAAAATTTGTAAAATGCACAATCAAAACATAGAAAGAAAATTTCATTGTATGTAATTTAGGAATATTTTTCATAAATATATATATCCATATACAACAATTTCTATAACTATTTCTAAGTCAATAATATATATTAGTATTCAAATAAATATGAAAATTGCAAGATTTTCTGGAAAACCTTCAATTTCAAAGTATTAAATATCATTTAATATCGACATTTTAATATTAATATTGAGAATAAGAATTGAAAGCAAATATAAATTAAATATATTAAAAAAAATTAGTATTATAATATAATATTGCATTTTTTAATAAAAAACAAAAATTTTTTTTCACATCCACTATAAAAATTTAAGCATAGTATCTTAATTTTTAAACTTTTTTAGATTCTTCGTACAAAATATTTTGAATTTTTTTATTTTATATTTTTGTTAAATATTTAGAATAATTTTGTTTACATTAAAGCTGTTTTAAAATAGATTTAATATATAAATATATCTATTTCATCTTTTTTTAATGTTGTAAAATGATTTATTTGTTTAGAAAAGAAATTGTTTACAATCTTATATTAGTAAGCATATATAATAATAAATTGTTTTTATAAAGCTGATATTTCAACATTATAATTTACTTTGAATCCATATTCAGAGTGTTTTTATGAAATTTGATTTGGAATTTATAAAATTAAAAAAATATTTACAATTTTTTGAAAAGAGTGTTTAGTTATCCTTCGAATAAATATATTTCTATATTTTTACTATAAATCATAATATTATTTAATTTCTTTGCAGTATATACAAATTAATAGGTTTTGTAATCGTAAATAGAAAAATTTAAGAAAATACAAAAATATTTTTAGGTATTATATTTAGTTATTATAATAGTAGAATAAAAAGTAAATTATTCAATTTCTATTTTTTTATACTTAGATATAAATTTAATTTTTTTATTTTCAATTATACATAATTTTCTGAATGCTTCATATTTTACAATATGAATTTTATTGCATTAAGCACTGATATGATTATGACAAAAACGGCTACTGTTCAGTTCAAATATAAAAAGCAAACGTAGAACTTTAATTCTAACTAAAAGATTGAATTCTTTCCACAATGCATAATAGTTAAAATTGATGGAAAAATATAACGAACATTAATTAGACAGTTTTCGTTGCAATGTTTGCTTCTAATATTAAATCATTCACAAATTCTAAAAAGCTGATAATATTTAAAAATTTAATCTTACTAGTTTGATTGAGTCATACCATGAGTCATACCATGAGTTAACTTCGGAACTTCTCGTGACGTTAGCATCTACACTTTCCATCAGAGTAAATTTTTCTCGCAAAAAGAGAAAAAAGGAAAAAATGGAAAAATTTATCCGTAACAACGCTTACTTGTCGAACAAAAGACTGCTCGGCTGAATGGAGCACTCTTTCTTTCATCAGCAGTCGCCGGAAAGCATTTTCCAAGGTCTTGTGAAAATCACGTAGAGCCATGCGCGGGTGAGACATTTCTCATTGTTGATATTTTATCGGTATAAATAATTTTTCGTGGTGAACTAAGTAGAGTCTAGGAGCGTGGAAGAAGATTAAAAGATGGAATGAGAACTTCATTTTCATACCGACTATCAATGGAGAGCACATGGCATTGATTTATTTTTGTTTATACATTCGTTTGCTCAGTGGTTGCTCAGGCATACAAGGTGGACGTGGAGGTGATAGGAGGTGCATCACGGGGATGTACAGCGGTGCTGCGCTGCGTAGTACCGAGCTTCGTTCGAGATCTTGTACGAGTAGTATCTTGGTTACAAGAGCCAGCATTCTATATTTACCCTTCATTACAAGGAGGTATGAATTATCTAAAATTTTAATGTATTTATTTATTGACTTATTTATTAGTTCATTAATTCTCTCAAGTTTTCTCTCTCTCTCTCTCTCTCTCTCTCTCTATACATATATATATATATTTTCCTTTTTCGATAACTATTGTTAGTACGTTCTAATAATCTTTTTCTTATTTACGCAAAAATAAGAGTTGCGTAAGCGCACTTTAATAAACTCGAGTCGAAGTTGGAAGAAGATTGCTTGGATGTTCGGTGTCGGAGGGTGCATTAAATTCACAAGAGTTTTATTGTCTTGTGGAATTGAGAGACAAGGAAGAAAAGAAAGTATCGAGAGATAGATATAGAGAGAGAGGAAGAGAAAGAAAGAAAGAGAGAGAGATCTCAACGTCAACATAACATAAATATCTTTAATATAAACCGAATTAGAAGTATAAGCGAGTAATATCGATTGAATGTAGTAAGTTCTACAACGACGAAAATAAAAGTATCAGATGTAGGTGTAAGATAGTGAAGAAGAGAGAATAAGAATGCAAAAACAAAAGAGATGAAAAACAACTGAGTAGCACCGACTGTGTATTGTAGATGGAAAGTTTCATCTGCTACCGACAGGAGAGCTACTGGTTCATGGTTTAGAATTCACGGATCAAGTACCTGGTTATAGGTGTCGTACTATGCATCGCCTTACGCGACAGGTCGTTGTTAGTTCCGTGGCGAACGTTAGAATAGCCGATCATCGGGGTGTCATGCCGCCTGTCATACTTGACCATTCAGAAAACATGCACGTCGCCCAAGATGAGTCAACCTCCCTTGTGTGCGTTGCTCAATCCTGTCCTACTCCCGAATACAGGTACTACAAAAACCCTCTTTATTTCATAATTAAGCAAGAATAAATGAGTACATATTTATATAAGCATCGTAAATTAAGATTAAAAAATTACAAATACTTATTTTATCTTCATACCGTATAATCCATCAGCTGTCCGTGATAAATTTCTTTAAATATAATGATACACTGATGGGGCCTGCAGAAAAGTGATCCCTTCAGTATTTCAAATCTTTTAATTCTTGATAGTACTCAGATCTAATCGTCTAGTAAAGTAGGTAAATAACGTTTCAGGTGGTATACCCAAACGGGAGCTGAACCGATGCTGGTATTACCAGGTCCTAGGACAAGATTATTGGGTCCGGTGTTGGCCATTGAAGCGGTTACCCTCGAAGATAGTGGCGTTTATAGGTGTGCCGCTTCGAATCCTGGAGGCGAGGCCAGTGCCGAGCTTAGGTAAGAGTCGAAAAATTAAAATCAATAGCATTCGGCAGGCGCTTAAATACGTAATACAGCGATCGAGCGATAGAATCTTTTCATATGGGATGTCGAGTTTCAAAGTTGCTCTTATCAATCATATAAATAACGCTGAAGAAATTGCGAAAAACTCTTTTTACCTATATAAGAATGCATACGATCCTCTTCCAAATATATTTCAAACGAATATTTATTGAGTGTATAATTTTATAAAGGAGCCAAATTGATGTTTTTTTTCTAAAGATGTAGATATTGATATTTTTATTAAAAATAAGATTTGTTTTATTATTGTAATTGTGAATATAATTATATAATATTCGAAAAATTTGAAAATAATTATATATACTAAAGAAATTTATAACCTTTATTGAGCGTTATTCAATAGTATATGTACGCGCATGCGTGCGCGCATATGAATATCAGGCATATCATATTAAAAGTAATAAATAAATTTTATCTATACTGTCTGATTATTAACATTTAAACAATGATTATCATTTAAACAATTATCCTCGAATTTTTATATAGTAGGATTTGAATTTTTTAATCATATAAAATGTGCATTCAATAGAAGATAAAAAATATTATTTTTATTATATGGTCATATAAATAAGAAAACTTTATATCATTTACGTATTCAACAGTTATTTGCTTACAATTTATTTTATAGATATTTAATAACGACTTTTAAACATAAACCAATCGCTTTTAACAAATTTCTTTAATATGGAACTAATATGAAACATTAATCAAATTATTATAATTTAAAGTCTAAATACTACATTTAAAATAAAATTCTAGTCACTTATAAGCTTATTGATAGATTTGCACCAGACTTAAAATAATTGAATATTTCATTGTAATTAATGTACAAAATTGAAAACACATCATTTTTGACATTTTGAAATTTATTAATAATAGATTTATTTATGCTTTTCTAGTAATCACAATATATAAATTAATTAATATTTATTTAAAAAATAAGACAATTTGTACATAATTCTTGAAATGAATTTCCTTCTCGTATCCACTGTATTGAGCAGAAAATGAACATCGCTGAGATTTTTACTGATTGCAGTGGGAGACTTGTAAAAATCTTGCTATATATATACAAAAATCTTACATACATACATACATAAAGACATCTACAGATATATATATATATATATATATATATATAGAAATCCGATTTAACACTAAAATACTTATGAATTAAGATAGTTAAGGGTGGGCGACTGTCGGATGAAAGGGTCGGGACTTTGCCGTGAATAAATAAAATGGGCGTTTTGATGAACTGTATCTTGAGTGGCGTTTAGATTGGTTGTAACGGCACCCCTGCACGTGGAGGTAACGCCGGCACTGCTTAGCGTTCACCTGGGTGGCAATGCAGAATTCCGCTGTGAAATCGGCTCTCATCCACAAGCGAGTCCGCACTTCATCAGTTGGTACAAAGATGGACGGCAGCTACCGGGAACCGGCCGTCAATCGGAGCTGCTACGCATTAACAGCATCGGTCGAGAAGACCGAGGCATGTATCAATGTATCGTAAGGCGCTCTGAAGGAGATACGGCCCAAGCCTCCGCTGAGCTACAACTTGGAGGTGAGTAAGAAAATAGCTATGGATCGATACGCAGTACCGCAATTATCGAATTTAAATGGTCCCTTAATATTTCTGTTTGCAGATGCACCACCGGTGCTTCTCTACTCCTTCATTGAGCAGACCCTACAACCCGGTCCCGCCGTTTCCCTAAAGTGCTCTGCTGCGGGCAATCCCACACCTCAGGTTTCCTGGGCTCTCGACGGCTTTCCTTTACTTACTGTTGGAAGGTATAATACGATCGTTCAACCATGCATGATATTTAATTTCAGTTTTATTCTTATAATGCTCAATTTGTTATCTCAAAACTAAAAATTTATATTTAAATCTAAATAAAAATGATAAACATATAAACAATGCGACATAAAAAAAGGAAATTAAATTTCGTTTCTTTTATGAATGATGTTTAAAAAGCTGTGCTGAAGAACGGAGATTATATACGTGTGAGGCAATTGATGAGGGGTATAGCAAATCAGTTTTATAAATCCTACACAATCAATGATAATATTTTAAAAATGACTTCTTCGTTAAACATCACATAGGATTAGTTTGACGGGGCTCGAGTAGATTTTTTCAATAAAGAAAAACAATTTGGTGGTGGCAGAAGCAGTGATGGCGATGGCCTCAGGAAAAGTACCACTAAGAATAATGTATTTTGCTCTACCAGAGCAAAATACTTAGATATGCCGTTGTCTGTATTGCAGGTATGTGATAGGTCAGTATGTGACAGTTCATGGAGATGTGATATCGCACGTAAACATTACTCGAGTAGTGGTGGAAGACGGCGGGGAGTATTCGTGTACGGCCGAAAATCGTGCGGGTAAGGTGACGCACGCAGCCAGACTTAACGTATACGGTAAGAAGAGAAATGTCAAAACAAGCTGTGTAGTCCTGATTTACTCTATTCTGATTTTATTTATATGCGCGTTCTGACGTCGTTAAACTTCGTTATTCGATAAAAGTCTCCAGTGCATATCCTCAGAATCTTGCTGGCCCTACATTGTATTTATACTGGTGACCACTAAAAACGTAGCTATTAGATACCTAATGATTAACTATCTTTTTCCCTTTTTTTAAACAAGAATGTAATGCAATATTATTGTGTAAATACGTTTGTATAGTTTGTATAGTTTTCTGTAGCGGTTCAAATGCTACGTTCTCTGAATCGAATGTAGCTATATATCCTTGTTAATTATTTTTACAAAATATGCTGTGTTAATATTTTTAAAAGTAAATGAAATATTTATTATTATTATATAATAGTTTCAGATTTCAAAAGATATAAGATGCATGGCTTAATTTTATTTATTAATAACAATAATCTTATCATTATAGAATGAATAGAATTAAATATCGTAGATTCCAAATAAATTCAATTACTATTGTTAAAAATATTTGAACAAAAAATTTTAAAAAAACCTCTGTTCGATTGCAATTTACTTATTTAAGAAATTAAAAAAAAAGAGTATCCAAAGCAATAGAGGCGCCTCATTTACACTCCATTTTAAAATATAAAAATTATTTTATAAACTTTTTAATTTTTTTCGAAATTTAAAGTATGTAATCATGTGACAATAAAAGTGATTAATATATATATATAAAACAGTCATATAAAGGAAAAATACTATGTTAATAGTTTTCTATATCAGTATTTTTTTAGTATGTATCGTTATTTGCTGAGTAAAATTTGCGCCAATTGGTGCATGTGTAAATTGACGCTAATATTAACAATTGTAGAACATGTAAAAAAGCTTATCGAAAGAATCTGAGCTATTGATCACTGGGAAATTCTGTAGAATAAATAATAATTTATTTATTTATATAATCTATAGTGGATTACGAGTATCAGAAGTTGAAATAAAAAAAATAAGTCTTGCGCATCTAAGGATTTCCCTGGGACATGCTCTGTAATATTCAGCACTTCAGAAAACAAAAACAGAATAGCTTGTGGTTTCTTAGGTTTGCCTTACATCCGCCTGATCCCAAAGGTGACCGCGGTGGCCGGGGAGACGTTGAGGCTAAAGTGTCCAGTCGCGGGCTATCCGATTGAGGAAATACGCTGGGAGCGAGGTGGTCGAGAGCTACCCGATGACTTGCGTCAGAAAGTTATGCCTGACGGCACCCTCATCGTTTCAAGCGTGCAGAAACAGGTGGACAGCGGTGCATATACATGCTGGGCTAAAAATAAGCAGGGTCACAGTGCCAGGCGCAGCGGCGAGGTCACCGTCATTGGTGAGAGACAGAACTGCCCCTAAGACCCCGTTTACTCGCATCCTTCTTTCTCTCCAATCTTTAGGTGACCAAGGGACAATTAGCAGCTTTATGCAGTGTGACTGTGGGGAGACCTGCGCGCTCCACGCATTCTCAATCGAAAAACTTTTCTTTTCTGACGTTCCAGTTCCTCCCAAAATTAGTCCGTTCACCGCCGATCATGATCTTCACCTCGGTGAGCGCACGACTCTCACATGCTCAGTGTCTCGGGGCGATCTACCGCTGACCATCTTCTGGCTGAAGGATGGACGTACGATGGGTCCTTCAGAACGCGTTACCGTCACCAGCGTCGACCAATTCAACAGCATATTGATGATCGAAAGCTTATCGCCCGATCACAACGGCAATTATTCCTGCGTCGCTCGTAATCTTGCCGCTGAGGTATCTCACACGCAGCGGCTCGTGGTTCATGGTAATCCTCCTCTAGGTCCAGAAAGTGCCCAACGGCCCGACCGCCCCTCTTTGTCTGTTTGTCTGTCTTTCACTCTCTCTCTCTCTCTCTCTCTCTCTCTCTCTCTCTCTCTCTCTCTATATATATATATATATATATATTAATTGAATTCTTTCTCTATCTATACGTCTGTGTGTGTTACGTGAGTGCCGGGGCGTGTGGTGCATCTTGGCTTCGGGTGGGTTATTAGCGATTCTCTCTGCATGCACAGCGATGAAGTCCGAGGACACAATACTCAATTGATTACGTAGACCGAGGAGAATAAACGCTCGAAAGAAGGTGAGTATTCTATTGGAGCTGTACATCGATTGAAGTGCAAAAATATGAATACATATGGATGGATGCATTGGCAGCGTTCTCTTGCATACGAGTGTGTTCTAGCTTGTGGGCGCGCGCGCGCATCTCTTTATGCGTGCGTGTGTGCGCGTGTATATATTATTACGATCGACGAGGGGCGGCGGTTATCCGTTCAAGGCTGGGTCAAAATTTCACCTTTACATTGCTACGTTATCATTCTTCTACCTCTAATGTACATATCTCTCTCTCTCTCTATCTCTCTCTGTCTATCTATCTATCTATCTATATATATATATATATATATATATATATATATATATACACCTTTTTCACTTTCTATATATGTATATATATATATATATATATATATATATATATATATATATATATATAAATAATTGTATTATACTGCTACTATTAAACTGTCCGATTTTGTTTTATACATACATATTATATATACATATACCTATATTAAATATTTATCATGCATAATGTATATAATAGGCGCGTGCCTTCGCAGGCGGCCGCCGATACATCAAGGCTGCTCGATTTGTAAATATGGAGCGCGAAGGGGAGTAAGGCAATCGAGCGAGCGGCCGCCTGGGGGAAGGCTCGGGCTCCTAGACCTGGTACGAGTCTCTTACGTTTTTGTGGTGCCATCTTTTTCTTGCTCTCATGTATGGTTCTCTCTTCTCTCTTGACCTTTTCCAGTACCTCCTATAATTGAGCCATTTAACTTCCAAGAGGGACTATCCGAGGGGATGCGGACGAGGACGGTGTGCGGGGTCGCGGCTGGCGATCCACCCCTTACCATATCCTGGTTGAAAGACAGCCAAAATCCATTTCCCCTGCCCACAAAACTTGCTTCCGTCGTAAACGTATCCCAACTCGATCCCTATTCAAGTCTACTTAGCATATCTAACCTAGCTGCCGAACACTCCGGTGACTACACCTGCGTCGCCGCGAACCCCGCTGCCGAGGTCAGGTACACGGCCAAGCTACAGGTAAAAGGTAACTAGTTCACGTCTGAACGACCAAAAAGCTTTCCTCACATAATATCATTACCATTACCGCATGTAAACCAATTCAATTATCAAAAATCAGGTGACAGTAGTCTCCCCCATTATTAATGCGTGTTTTCTTCGAGATTTTTAGACATGGCGGTCCTCAATTCTTACTTTTCCTTATCACAAATACGTATCTACGTCGTGATCGCGTTTGCAGATATTTTTTATTTTTGAGTTGATTATTATTTTGTTTATTTTAATTCTATGCTAACCTAGCTTGTATTATTTAAAATTAATGTCAGTACAACTGTAAAAAAAAAAACAAGACACTCAATCCAGTAGCTACAAGGGAGGAAATTTTTTATTAATATTTAACTTCCTTTCGGTTGAGAGAAGTGACAGTACGAATACTAATAACCTCAAAGTCCCTGACAACCATTGATCCAAAATCCAGAATTTCGTAAAATCCGTTTGAAAGCATTGTTCCATAACACACATACACGTTTACGTTGCTTTGGCTCTCTGGGAATGCGTCGGTATCTCGTCGACCCCGAAGGTTTGCTTGACTTGACCAAAAATAAAGGTAACAGAGTTGCACCATCCTTTAATGTACATCAACAGCCAAATTTTTTCTATTTTGCATGTATCATTCCAGTTTTCTACCTTTTTCACATTCACTCATCTACTAGAAGAATTAGTCCGTTTTTATAACCATGTAACTGGCTTTTTCTGGATATTCTTTCTCTTTTTAACTATCTGTCCATATATTTTATCGAGTGAATATTAACAATTAGTACGCTACATACTCAAACTAAGCATGCTTCTTAATTTTTATATTATTCTTATACAATCTGGCCTCGTAACAATGTGTCTCTCGTTCGCTCACCGACCCTTGACTGATGCTGCTGGACACGTTGGAAAGTCGAAAATTTTTCTTTCTTGAACGACCTCATGGATCTTTTTTTTTAACTTAATACTTCTATCTACATTAATTAGTTCTTTAAATTTTATCATATTTTTAATACTATTTATACATTAATAATCAGTTAGTCACTTTTTACTTTTTTATACGCTTGCCTAAATTTTTGCACAATACAATTTCATTCCTGTATATATTGATTTTATTTTTATTTATCTTACTATATTTATGAATTTATATGTTTTAAACAATTTCTAAGTGTTCATAATACCCTAATGAGCTATTTATAGACGTGGTATGAACGATAGAAAATACTTATACATTTTAATATGTAAAATAAATATTTAAGAGACTATTGCTAATACCACTGTCTGTAATCAAGTAATATTTTAAAAGTAGAATAATTTTTGATACTAACAAATTATAAATCAGAGTAAAACTTACTTTACTTTTTTTATATATTATAATATATATATAGTTTGTAGATAATCAAATAAAAAATCAGTCTAAATCAACTGATTTTGGCTTATCATTATAAAGTGAATTGCTAATCCCAATTGCCTTGAACTATTGGAAAACCTTGAACTTTAAAGGATCTATACTATTTTAGTTCTTCGGTCAAAATAAAACATGTATATTTAAATGCATTCTTCATGCGTGCACTTTATGTATATATCTCATTATACACAAACTACGCGGATACGTTTGCTTCGTATTTTTTCATTCTTATACTTTTTAATCTCCATCTGTTTTTTAGCTTTCTTTCTATATTCTGTTACTATTATCATGTGAAACATTTATTATTGAATTTCCAATTCACTAGTATTTCGCTTATGCAGAATTTTTATTTATCATTATAAATGTAGAACCTGTTAATCTGTATACTCCAAAAACCAAAATTTTATATTTTCAACACAAGATATTTATTAGGTATATTGATATACCATCGATTTATAGGTATACTATTAATTTTTACTTTTGTAAGAATTATAAAGAATTTTTTAAATTAGTAAAACCGAATCATCGGATTATCTTCACATACGTTCAATCGTACCCACATACTCATAACTTTTACTGTTATCCGAAATTATTTAAACGTATATGATTCCTAAAAGCAATTTATTTTATATTTAAAATTTGTATTAATTCCATTTAATATATATATACAATTACATATTCATATATATGGTTACATATCAGCACATACTATTTTTTATATGCACTGCGTAGTTTGACATATTTTAACATGTATATGGTTACATTTACGGTAATATTATAACAAGGTTACCAATATTGGTAATACCTAAAACATTATGCGACATTTGTGATAACACATACTTATTAAAAATAAAAGCTTCCTTTATCTTAGTTCTAAGAAAATATGAAATTTTTAAAATAGATATAAAACAAATATTTAAAATATTAAAATTCTATTCATATTTTTATAATACATTGATATTTAACAATAACGGATAAATATTTTTTATATAAGTTTTATGTAATAAAACTCAATTGAATTTTATTAAATAGTTAAATTTTGAACATTTTAATTTTTATATAGAAGTTTTTAAATATTAACCTAAATATTAACATTGTAATAAATTTGTAACCGAATCACTTTTATATCAGTAATACTTATAAAATTATAAAATTATAAAATTGAAAAGTATTGGAATTTAATGCATTGCAATATATAATTCAAAAATATTCGAATCATTAAGTAAAAGTTATAAATATTGGATGATTTATCTTTTTGTTTGATTTCGGTTTTTCTCATTTAAATATTTTATAATAAATAAGAACAATAATTGGATAAAATATTATTATAGTTATTTTATTATATTAACATATCTTAAAATTATTGATTTTTAAAAGTTATCAAATATTGTTTAAATTTGACAAAAATATTTGAAATTTATTGAGAAATTGCCTGTAGAAATCTTGTGTTCAATGGAAACTGAACTCTAAACCTGAAAGTCCTTACTACTAATGACGTTAATTTTTTCATTATAAATTTTTTAATCATTGAAAATTCACACACACATATATGCAAATATATATATAAACATACTATATACGATGATCGACTATATTCGTCCGTTATAAAATATTTTTATCCTTTATTATTTAAATTATTTATTTATTTTACATATGTTCATGTATATATATTATATTTCCATTGTTGTAATTTAAATTTAATATTCTGAATAGTATTAAATTATAAAAATTTAATTAATGAACTTATTCTAATGACTTATTTTATAAAGCATCATTGTTATATGAAATTTTGTATTTCAATTCTATTAAATTGTTTGCTATTCTCTGTATGTTCATATTTAAATATACTTAAGCATAAATTACGTTTGATAAAGTAACTGTTTTTTAAATTATAAAATATAAAATAGTCTTCGAAGCTTTCACATGTATTTTCTTTTTTTTCTCTTTTTTGCTTATTTCCATCTATTATATTTATCCAATCCTTAACAACGAGCGAAACAAGCAAAAACAAAAAATGGAGCTACAATGTAAAACAATCCGTGTATAGGAAAAAAATTGCACAAGTCAGAGCGGAACGGTGATATGAAATTTATTCACTTGGTAATTTCAGTGCCGCCTCGATGGATTGTCGAACCAAGTGATACAAGTGTCGAGCGAAATCGCCACGTGGCACTGCACTGCCAAGCTCAGGGTGTTCCAACGCCCAATATCGTGTGGAAAAAGGCAACTGGTATGACTTTGTAATTCATTAGACAGATGTGTGTCAATTCTTAATCCTTATAAAGCATTGTTGTATTTATATACAAAAGGAGGTAAGTCTGGCGAATACGAAGAACTGCGGGAACGACCCTATACTAAAATCCTGGGCAACGGCACATTGCTGCTGCAACACGTGAAGGAGGACAGGGAAGGTTTCTACTTGTGTCAAGCGAGTAATGGTATAGGCTCCGGCATTGGAAAAGTTGTTCAACTCAAAGTTAATTGTAAACTAAACTGTTATTTCAATCTCTCTTATTGTATGCGAAAATTAATATTAATTAAAGTATTTTATTCTATTAGCATCTCCATTTTTTGCCGCGCCCTCGCGCTTAGTAACTGTCAAGAAATCTGATACAGCTACTCTACATTGTGAAGTTCACGGGGACAAACCAGTGAGCGTAAGCTGGTTTAAAGGTGGTAAAGATGAAATGAATCCCTCAACGAATTATCGGTGAGTTACAGATATCCCCATATCGTACACTCTGTTTATACCAGTATTTCACGATTATTACAGAGTAACGGTAAAACAAGAGTCTACCCCCGATGGTGTCGTCGCCCAACTCCAAATATCCTCAGCCGAAGCCTCTGATAGTGGGGCTTATTTCTGCCAAGCAAGCAATCTTTACGGAAGGGACCAGCAACTCGTTCAACTACTCGTACAAGGTTCGCTTCCATTTTTCTTTCGGTATACAATCTTACGAATAACTAATTTATCTATTTTATGCTCTACACTTCTTGCTTTATTCGGTTAGGGAATGGTAAAACGAAACACTATTTACACATGGTAGGATTGTTTATGTATTATGGAAATGAATTAAGTTTTTATATGAAATAAAAACAACTCGTCTTATGTAAAACTTCCATGATTCTGAAGCTTTCTTAAATATAATTTTATATCATGTCATAAAATAATTCATTTCTATAATTATTTTAATAATTTTGAGTATTTAAATGTCAGGCAAATACTATCCTTAGTAGAGCATACACTATATATATAGTAATTCGATAAACAATCAATCAAATAGTTGTTCATTCAACATTAAAGTTCAGAAATTCTTGCACACGCAACTACACAAACATTTATAGTCACGACCATAATCAACGTCGTTCTTGTTCTCATACGTATATTTACATAAGTGATATTAGGTACTTGGTTATCGCGAGCATCAAACTTGATTTTAACGTGGATGTTCTTGTTGCAAAGAGCCACCAATGGCACCGGGCAATCTTGAAACGGCAATGGTCGCTAGCCGAAGCATAAACATCAAGTGGCAGCATAAGTCCCAGGATACGAGCGAGGTGAGTAAGTACATACTCCAGTATAAGGAGGGTGATGGTATGTGGCAGCAACAGGAACTTAGTGGCCCTCCCCTACCTTACGCTGCACTTGTCGACGAACTCAAACCCGCGACGAGATATACGATCAGGGTAATAGCCGAGGGCCCAGCCGGACGTTCGGCACCCTCGAGTGAGCTTGTGGTGAAAACCGAGCCCCAAAGGCCTGCAGGTCCGCCCCTCAATCTTGCTGCACGCGCCCTCTCATCTACGGAAATTCTTGTCACTTGGCTCCCACCTCTGCCGGAGCTCAGACATGGTGATGTTGAGGGATTCAATGTTGGCTACAGGGAAACTGGGTCGGTTAGCTTTTCGAGGTGGGCGCGTCCTTCCGTGCATTGAAAAATAACGAGCGCACATTTTATTCACTAAAGCAATATGTGAACTTCAAGATAATTTTATAAAATATTTAAAAATATCTTTATAAGTGATATATTCACGATATAAAATGTTATGTACTCAACGTTTTATTAAACATTCAAAGCAAGCACATTATTTAAAATATATTTATATGATGCAATTTTCGATATCTATAATCCCCTACACACACGCGCGCGCGCATATACACGTGTTGTCTCTCTCTCTCTCTCTCTCTCTCTCTCTCTCTATCTATCTATCTATCTATCTATCTATCTATCTATCTATATATATATATATATATATATATATATGTATATACATATACAGCAAAGTAATTTAATAACGTATTTATTCGATACATTTAATAAAAATAATAATTTAACAAAAATAGTTCAATTCACAATTTCAGGCATTTACATAGATAATGTAATTATTTATATTCAATCATCGGACAATCAAATAATGAAGCCATCAACAAAGGCGAATGGATATTAGTCTTATCTCGGACGGTCCATATTCTTTTTTCATTCCCGTTTCAAATTGTTATATAAATCAAATTTGTTCTGCGTAGCTCTTTAAAAATTTCAAAATCATGTATATAAAAGTAAATTCCTGAAGCCACTAAGTTTTGGGGTAGATAATTAAGTGATGTACTTGGACATTCGAGCGAGAAATGTCGCGGCGCTCAATAAAAATTGCACGGGAGGCGCGCTAGTAGCATGGGGTACGAAATTGCTAAAGAACTCTATTACAGCTCGGCAAACCCGTCGTTTAATTTCACTTCGGTATCGGGTGATGGTGATGAAGGTGGGGCGGAGCAGCGACTCACAGGTTTACGTCCATATACGCGCTACACCCTCATCGTGCAAGCCTATAATCAGGTGGGCTCTGGTCCACTCTCTGATCTTCTCACCACCCAAACTCTTGAAGACGGTATGTTGTTTTGGTCTTACTTCTTCTATATATTTTTTTTTGTTTTTAATCTTATCGATACCCTCTTTTCTGTAGTCCCGGGAATGGCACCGGAAGATGTGAGATGCGCTGCCCTGACGTCTGAATCGCTACAAATATCATGGCAACCACCGCCTACTAGCCACACTAACGGTATTATACAAGGCTACAAACTTCATTACGAACCGATTCTTGAGGAGGCTTGGCCGAGTATCGATGAAATGGAGGTACAGATTTTGCTTTGATAGACTTTTAAAATTACGATTATATACTAATATATATTAAGATATATTAATTAATAAACTATAATATAATAAACTATAATATAATAAATATATAATATAATAAACTAATATATATTAATAATATATATTAAGATTACTATACACACGCTCAATAATTCAAACTAATATGCACTTACAACCCTCAACTTATTAAATGACCAATCTATAAATTTTAGATTTATAAATTATTTTATAAATTACTAGACTACAAACTAAAGCAGACGACAAGAAATAATGTAATTCAAATAATTTATTGTATTATTTTATAGATTTTATGAGGGTATAAAAATTGTATTCTAATTAATGAAATAATCTCGTCTTCGCAAGATATTTTTATACCGTACTTAGTCATATGTAAAATGAATATTTTCATTAACCAGATATTCTATTTAGTTATTTTTATGAAATAAACACAAACATAATATAATATAAAACATTCATTTTTGCAACAAACTAATAATAATAACATATAGTAAATTATTAATATAATTATTTTTCTTACATATATTTAATTATAAATATACTTTATACATTTAAAGGCATACAAAGGTAAGTTATATTCAACATTCAATTTATAAAATTGATTATTATTACAATTATTATTATGATGTTAAAAAGAAAATATAAGATTTTATTTCTACGCTACATATTTTTTAATATTAAAATAATTCAATTAAAATGTATACACTTTAATATTAGCAAATTAAATTGTTCGAAACTGTTTGATTTCCTGGCTCGAACTGCCAATGTTTCGATAGCTTTATAATAATTGCAGCCTGCCATAGCAAATGCTTGGGAAGGACTTAAGTGGAAGGACTTTATTTGAATACAGTGTGTGCTTCTTTGATAAATATGGTTTATTATGATTCATTTACAATTAGATTATTGATGTGTTGGATTTATCCTAGGGAAAGGTGTATTCTATGTTCAATCACGAAGATGCAGTTGCTTGGAACTGCTCCCGTGGTGAATAGTTTATCTACACGAGATGCTCCGTGATGATGATGATGTTGATTTTGTAAGAATCAAGAACCGAGTATGCACATTTAGTGTTAGGGAGTGTGTCTTACGCTATGTAATAATAGTCTTGCTAATCTTCTAAGGATTAGTAATTATGTGCACGCTCATGGATTAGGGAGTATGTATTGTATCGTCTGACGTTTTCTTGATATGAAGGAGATAGCGTCAACACCTATTATTTACGGCACTGGAGAATTGACCCGTCTTCCTTCTATCGTGGCTTTACTTAAACAGCACCTCTGGCTTCTTGGCGTCCCCACCAAGCGAGAGCTTCTGTCTAGCATGATGTCCCCACCATAGAGTGTCTCTGTCAACGGCGTTCCACTTAAAGATAGCGTGGAGTCTTCTTGGCGTCACCACCAAGAGAGCGCCTCTGTCAATGGTGTCTCCACTAAGATAGAGCGTTTTGCTCTGAATGACTAGCACGTGGCTGAAGTGCATGGCTGACTAGCCTTCATGGGTGAATAGCATAACTGACTCCGTCAATGAATGAAAATCTACTAATGCGCCTCGTGGTGCGCTTGTCTTTAATATCCACGCTGCAGATTTGTTAGCTGACAACAATGGAGCCAATCATGGCGCTAGAAATAATGAGTGCGATTGTGGTGCGAGAAACAATGGAGGTGATTGTGCACTTGTACCATTTCGGATACACTGGCTTTTCCGAACCTCCAATAATTGTTGGAGGTTTCTCTTAAAAATTATGATAATTGAATCATTTCCCCGAAATTATAACTGTTGAGGTTTTTTCCTTGGAATTATAGCCAGTGGGATTTCCCCAGATATTATAACATTCGAGATATTCTCTGAATCTCACACATTCCACCCGCCATCAGCAATTTCTGGAGCAAAATTCCTTTTGGTTGGGGATTGGTAGCACTGCCAATTTATGTATGGCTCTTACCATGGTGGTCGAGGCTGTTTTAGCGTGACTACTCTAGTCAGCCCATCCTTGCTAGAATGTATATTGATTATTTGAGCGAGGGCCCACTTGCAAGATGGGAACTGCTCATCGGTGAAAAGTACCAACGAGCCAATCTTAATATCATTCCGTGGATAATGCTATTTGGAAATTGATTGATGCAGTTGTAAATAGTGAGCAGACCATTGTGACCGGAGTTGTTATACACGCTATTGTAGGAATTGCCAGCGAGACAATTCTGACATTGACAATCCCTTGAGAGATGGTTCTGGAATAGTTGTGAGCGAACTTCCTACGAGGAAATGTCGTAGGGTTAGTACTGAAACATCTTCCGGGTCGATACTCGGGTCCAAAAGTCTGGAGTTGAGGATTGCCTCGATTTGAGCTAGCAAGGTGGTAAACTTTTCAAGAGTGAGCAAGGTCTCTCTAATAGTGCGTCTCAGGTAGTGTTTTATAGATTTCACCACAGCTTCCCACTTGCCTCTCATGTAAGGCGTTGCGAGTGGGTTGAATTCCCATTTATTATTGACTTATGAGAGCATATTTACTATCTGTTGATGTTCAATGGTGCCTTGATCGAATATTCTTTTGAGCGCTGCATCAGCCCGCATGAAGATTTTTACCACAATATGAATGTAATGTGTTTGCAATTCCTCTATGAGCTGTGTATCGGCTGTATGCAGATATGACAAATGGGTTATGTAGTCACTGACCACTTCGATATGTGCTGCAGATGTAAATAAATACGCAAATCCATGCTTATGAGTTTTCGCTCATCACCCCTTCCAGATTTTTATGGTTAAGAGACTGGCATAATCAACTTCGGTATGAGTAAACGGTCGTGATGTCATTACTCTCGAAACTGCTAATTGTCACATCAGTTGCAAGCACGAATTCTCTTTTGTCGTGCGCAAACAATGCATTGCAGTATGTGTTTTTTTATAGGGAATCTCCCAGCGAAAATCAAATATTGCTGGTATATGTGCGCCAACGTAAGTCGTGTTCCGCCGTGGAGAGTACATTAGTGTGCTTGGACAATGACGAGAGCTGAGAAGTATGAGTATCGTGGGAGGGGCCAGGTGCTTGTATGCTGCCAGTCTACTGAATGCAAGATTATCTTAAAGAAGAGCCTTGATGTTAAGAACTCTTAATTCTTGAGAAGAGATGTATGCTGATTGAGTTGCCTTTATCCAGAAGATCCTTGGCTTCTCCAAGGTTTTTGTGTATATCTGGATAGTATAGAATCTCATTGTTTTTTCTAAATCGTGCGATAAAAATGATACAGAGTGCTGTCGTTTGCAACAATTTTTTGAGAGATGAGTATCTGTGGATTATGTCCCATTGATATTGCGTCTTGGGTTAGATATTGTGGTTAATAGTACGCCGTTATGGCATACTTCCTGTTCACATTGTTTTACGTTTTTAATGTTGGCTGGATTGTCTATGACTCTGATAATTTCATCCATAGTGGATATTCTTGAAGCTGTGATGTATTCATGCCTCGTGATGCGCAATTTGCTGGTTTTGATGTAATAAGAACATATCTCCAATGAACATCTGGAGTAAGGTCTGCTACTTTTCCTTTAATTGGGTTTAAGTTGGAGAAGACTCGATTGAAACATGATTGGATTGTTAAAGGTTTGTTATCATAACAGACTGTTAGCAGTTCCCAAGCCGAAGCAAAGGATTAGTTTGTCAGTGGGAGTCCAGAAATTACCTGTGCTGCTGTACCTTGCATTGCGGCGCGGAGGTAATACAGTTTTTTAAATTCGCTAATGATATCGTTATCAATAACCAATGTCTTGAAGATCACGAAACTCATACCAGTCTTCTTGCTTTCCTGGACACTTGGGAAGAGGTGTTTTTGGGAATTGGGTCGCTTGTACCTGTGCCTTGGTTGAGGGGACTTTTCTCTTGTTCTCGAATGCCTGGCAACGCTTAGTGATGATTTTTCACGTCGTTTTGTATTATGCGAATTCCTCTTCATAGGCATTCTTCACAAAATAGGCGTGAGTAGCATGATCAGCTGGCCATGTTGCGTCTAAGTATGCATGATCTTTGATGAAGGCCTCGTACAGTTCCTCGACGTGTGAAAATGCATCTGAAATTTCGTCTACTGAGATGTCGCACTGTAATGACTTATGTTCCTCAGCCAGGTTCCTCATTCATGCAATGCGAGACCATTGAGTTTTTGCCTTCATCTCAATGTTGATGTTCTTAATGGTGAGTTACTACACATAGAAGTGGAAGGTCGTAAATCTCTGTATGCTGCTTAGTGTAGTGTCACGTATTGCACAGTTTCTCGAAGTTGCATATGTGCAGGTTACTGGTGAGATCACTGCCTTCCACTATGATCCGACTCGAAGGACCAAATTTTTTACACTATGAAGGTGATTGTGCACTTGTATCATTTCAGATGTACCGGTTATTTCCGAACCTCCAACGACCGTTGAATCATTTCCACAAAATGATAACTGTTGAGATTTTTCCCCTGAAATTATAGCTGTTGGAATTTTCCCAGAAATTATAACATTCGAGAGATTCTCTGAATCTTGAATATAAACAAAACAATAATAAAATTATTCTTAGTATATTATTACATTATATAAAACATCCATATCATTGAGTAAATATTTTTCATTATATAAATGTATATGCAATTATGATAACATTAGACAATAAATTCAATAAAATAGGAAATATTATATTTGCTTTTTAAAAAATGGCAAAATGTATTTTGAACACTTAAAAAAGACCTAAAAATGTTTTTAAGGTGCGTAAAACAAGTGCTCTAACGACAGTACTTACGGGACTACGAAAGTACACGAATTACAGCATACAAGTGATAGCATTCACGAGGGTCGGCGATGGAGTACCAACGCGAGCCACTTATTGTCATACTGAAGAGGACGGTACGATCGAATCTATAATCTATTTTCAGTACACAATATAAAAAAAAAGAAAGAATCTAGTGATTGAATCGATTTGCTTTGTCAAATAGTGCCGGGCAGCCCAGCAGACATAAAAGTTGTGGTGAGCTCGCCGAAAGCACTATTTATCTCTTGGCTACCTCCTGTCGAGCCCAATGGCGTCATAACCAAGTACAATTTATATACGAGGTTGGTTTTTTTCTTCCATTCAGCCAAAATAAACTTAACCGCTCAGCTCTTGTTATTTATTTCCTGTTTCAATGTTATCAACAGTATAAAGTGCATGAACTTAACAGCAAAATTTGAAGCGACTATTGCTCTCTTAATTATCGGCAAATATAACTATAAATTGAACCAGTATGGGAAAAAAGGGGGAAAAAAGGGGGAAAAAAGGGGGAAAAATCTGTGCTCTATAATTCACCTCCATCGCTTTGCTGTTGAATTTACTTTTCAGAGTTGTAGACGGGAGAGAAGAGCTCAACCACGGCAAAAGAACGCTACCTACTGGTGATACGTATTTTGAAGCCACGGGACTTCAACAGCACGTTGAATACCAATTTTGGGTGACAGCCAGTACGCGAGTTGGCGAAGGCCAGAACTCGAAGGTCGCCGCTCAGGTGCCGACGAACCGTGTACCTGCACGTATAACATCTTTCGGAGACCAAGTGGTGCACCCTTGGCGAGGCTCAGTTACTTTGAGTTGCAATGCCGTCGGTGAGCCCACAAGTCGCGAATGGTACAAATCGAATCTCGATCAGGTGCGCACCGATTCCAGTAGAAATATTCAGATACTACAGACGGGGGAGATTGTATTTTCGAACCTGCAACCTCAAGATGCCGGTAATTACACATGCCAGGTCGAGAATTCTCAGGGTAGCGACAGACTTCATTACACTCTCGTCGTTCAAGGTAAAGCTTGTATTTGTATTCAAGGTCAGATAAACTGCGAAGTTAATATATCATAGTAAAAAAATTAATAGAAAGTCAAATTATGATTATAATTGGGTGTTAATTTATTAGAGTTTCTTCCAATTTTTGTTTCTGCACCTTCTATTTTAGTTAGAGATGTTTATGATAGACAAAAGTTGAATTCACATAAAATGCTCATATTTACTGTTGTCTTGGCTATGCATAAAAGTGCTGTGATGTATTTATATTTAAAAAGCTACAATTATCTTACATATTCAAATTTTCAGTGTAATAAAAATACAATGCATGAATCCAAATATAAATTTTGAATAAAAAATAAATTATAAGAGAAAAGCAGATCGAAGCATACTTATACGATAATATTGTATAATATTCGACACTTGATTTTCGTTGAATTTCAGTACCGCCTAGTGCACCTGTGCTCTACATCTCGAGTTCGACCTCAAATAGCATATTGTTGCATTGGAAGACTGGTTATAATGGAGGTGCATCGCTCACTAAATACACACTGCATTATCGTACCGCTCATGGTACTTTGGAGGAAATGCAACTTTCTCGACGCGCTACAAGTCACGAGCTTAAAGTACTCTCTTCTTAATTTTTACTTAGGCCCTTTATAAATATAACTTTTTAATAACTTTTCATTTTTCATTCAAAGCCACTATCGATATGAATTATCTGAACGGATATTCGATTGAAACTTAATTAAACGGATAATTTCTTGCAGTTATCAAGTACAAATCAGTTTTTTTTTGACAAAATTGGCATATAAAGTTTTAAAAGTTATGTCATACGCAAATAAAATTTTTATTTCGTTTTGAACTATAATTAATAACAATGTTGTTTATTTTAAAATTGAGCAACTCATATATCATTTTATATAAAATTAATTGGTAATATTTTTATATGAATATATATTTCAAAATTATTGTATACATACAATATAAAATAAGTTTATCTCTGTAATATGTATAAAATAATATATTATTAGATAAAGATTTTACTAGTCATCATGGACAATATTATATTATATTGTATATAATGCATTCTAATTTGTGAATATAATAATTGATGATTATTTAATTATTCTTATTATCGTAAAACCTCTCTCTCTCTCTCTCTCTATATATATATATATATATATATATGTGTGTGTATGTGTGTGTGTGTATGTATATTTATAGATATACTTGGTTATTTTATATAACATTAATTAAATCAAATTCCAGATATTACTTCTCATTTATGTCACTTTATGACAGTTCATATTTAATTATTTAAAATACTTTAAATTTTATTAATTTCGTTATGTTCTATTATGTGTATATTGTTATTGTCAAAATTACTTTCCAATACAAATTTTCATATTAAATATTTCGATAAATTAAGTTCAATAATTTATTTAATGAATTGAGAAATAATTTTTTTAGTAAAACAAAACCAAGAAATTATTTTCAAATTTGATTAAAAATTTTTCATCGTTAAAATGCATCATTGGCATTATTTTGTCACTATAATTTTAAATAATATGAAATAATAACTTTAGAGAGCTAGTAGTCAATGCTAGTGTAAATGTTCTTTTTTACATCTTTATAGAAATTTTATCCAGATGTTTCAAAATCTAATATCGGTATTCGGTAATATTTAATTTCGAAATTAAAAATAACATAAATGAAAAGAAATCACAATTAGATGTAGATCGAAACTCAATAGAAGAATCGATGAAGCGCGTCTGAATTCTAAACTTAATTCTGGTAAGAACTGTAAGAAGGGTAATGAAAAAGACTCTCACTTAGGGTCTGCTTTGCGGCAACACCTATCAATTGTATCTGAGTGCACACAATAAAATCGGGAGCAGTCCGGCTTCGCCTGTGCTTTCGGTAAGGACGCAAGGGCAGCCCCCAGGTATCCCTCCGGCGGCAGCCTTTCTCTCGCCAAACTCGACGTCCCTCGTCCTGAAACTGAGTGCCTGGCCTGATAATGGCTGTTCGATTTTGTATTTCGTCATCCAATACCGACCAATAAATGAATTTCACTGGACTCTAGTCTCGAACAACGTGAAAATGCAGCGACGCTTCGTCGTCACAAATCTCGCTTCAAGTTCTGTTTATCAACTTAAAGTTGAGGCCTACAACATCGCTGGAAATAACCAAGCTGAATTCACTTTTGTTACCCTTACGAAAGAAGGCGGTAAGTCAATAAATAAAATTCTATTGTCGCATTCCCATTTTTAGTATTTTCAACAAGATTAACATGTTCGTAAATACGGCTCTTAGCACCACCAGCAGAGCTATCGGAACGTGGTACTGGTTATCCAGTAGCTTTCTATGCTGATCTAAAAATTATGCTACCGTTGATGGTAGCTCTGAGTGCCCTTTTGCTGGCAGCTGCGATGATTGCCACCCGTTGGCGGAATAGTGAGTTGGTTTGTTTACGATAGACCGTTTACTCTTACTGTTTTCCCATCAGCTCACAATACCTCGCCCCTTTTGATTCAAATTCCATCCGTAAATTTTACTTGAGATCACTGCAGGCTAATGTTATTATAGGGTACACAACTGATCGCGTCCAACGCCCGATAAAGGAGTCTCAGGAGAATCAGCAAAATGCGGAAACCCAACGTGAGCGTTATTATGCGACGATTCACAAGGTTGCTCTCCAGACTAATGCCGGGGCACCCGACAAGATTCCAGGTGAATGTCGCGTTATGGGGCGGGCCACCGTGGCTCGTTTGTGCCCATCGAGGCCGATTTAAAAGGTAGGCAATGCCTCTGATGGCTTACAGAGACGGCGGAGGATATCTCTCCGTACGCTACGTTCCAGCTGTCGGAAGCCGCCGGGGCCGGCCTGGGCGCCTTAGCTGGATTGGGCGGTCTGACAAGCGCAGGGGAAGTTCCCGGGAGTGGTCTTCATCCCAACAACACCCTATTACACAGCTTTATGTATCACGAGCACGCAATGACGGAGGGCTGCGCAAGTCCACCACCTGCAACGACGGTGAGTATGACGGTCCCCTTCCTTCTCTAATTCAGTGGCAACGCCCAAACTCATTCATTAGCCCTGTCTCTCCCTCTCTGCTTCAGCAGACTCTGAAGAGCGTGTCATCGCGTCGGCGTCAGCAGAGGAAGCAGCACCAGCAGCAGCATCAGGGCAACGTCGAGAGCGACGAGAGCGAATCTGATGCAGATCAGTTAACGAGCTCGCGCACAGAGTCCTCGAACCAGCTAGATGCCGGCAAGCTCAAACACAGTGAGTGTTTTCACTATTACCGCATACGAACTCGATTCAGCCAACAAGCTTTCCGCCCATAGGAGTCTAAGAAGCTGTCCTGTATTTTACGGAACCATATTATCTTGCGACCTCAATTTCTTTCATAATCTTATCTTGATAACTCTCGTAGACGACATACATTACTCAAAAACCAACGCAAATATTTGTTTTTATTTGTACGCATTTTATATAATACATCTTACGATAATGACAGCAGTTACAAATAAATAAAATATACGCTCTAGCTTGTTTTTCAAAATTTTAATTTTCCAATCAGTTTTTAACATAACTAAAAGCTTTTTACGAATTTTTGTATTGATATGTGTCAAGAAGCTCTATCTTTTCTTTCTTTCTTTTTATTAACGTGAATCGTTCTTTAGAATCATTAGAATTATTCATTGATAATAAAGTAACGAATAAAAAATTTACTAATTTTTAATCTAATTACTATAGTTCGAGCGGTTTCGGACTTCATGTATCATGGTACATCAAGCACTTCTTCGGACATTTCACCAATGTCCGAACAAAAATCACTACCACGACGTGGTCGTTCAAGGTAAGTATCTAAAATAGTCTGCTTGAATTGCTCGGAATTCGTCGTAAATTCGTGACTCTAGGCTTTTGTTAAATTTCACTATTAAATTTTTCTATAATGATCAATTTGAGACACGAATGTACTCGTAATTTCGAACTTTATTTGCAAAATCTACAACTGATATATGCCTTTATCCTTTTGGATCTCGTGTAGCGTAAGGCCGGAGTGTACCAATACAAAACTTCGACATTTAATATATGCAGATAATCTATAAATATCGTAATATATCGGGAGAAAGGCTATGATAATGATGAAATGTGAATCGGGATTCAAAAGGTTAATATAAAAGAGGCTCAGATGCGCGGCGCTTAACAAACACGATTAAAGAAATAGAAAATAATCAAAACAAGTTTCTTTTAAATGAAACAATTTACTTATTCGTGAAAGACTTCCGAAGCGTGAGCAGCTCTTGAAAGTGCAAATTAAGGAAGTCAGAGTGCTCTCGCCTCGGTGGTCCGTTTACACAAGACTAATGTCCCGTTGATGCGCCTCCCGAGAAGATGGCACGTGCCCAGCAGGAGCTCCTTACGTACGATATTGCCACCAGTGTCGGTGGCAGAAACCGCCTTTGGCGGCCAATCCCAAACTTCTTCGGAGCAGCGTCCTCATCAGGAGATGAGCGAGGCCGAGTGCGATGTCGACTCCTTGAAGAAGCTCAAGCTGGGACTACGAAGCTCCCTGTGGTCACGACCGACTGGTCAACAGGGTAATCCTTCGTCGGATTACTCCATTGCCGTTTAGCTCGCGCCCGGCCCCCGGCTTAGCTCGGCCGTGACGCCCGGGCAAATCGAGCACCCAAAATACTTACGTCAGTCAAGACGCTGACACAGTTATAGTCAACACTCTTGCGCAAGAAATGTTATGTACATAGGTGGCGAACTCAAGGGTGTCCAATAACCAAGTCCGCGCTTTCTGACCTCGGGATAATGTATCTCACTCATGCTTGCACATTCTTTCCTTTTCTATGGCACGTTATTAATATGATAATACCCTATTTTTTCTCCTTACGTATCCAATGCTGATTATTTTGAGATTAATTAACTAACGTTAATTCCGAAATTAATTTCCGTTACTACATCTGTATTAGTCCTGTCTCTCTAATACACTTAACTCATTTCTTTCTACCCTAATCATCACCCACACAATGTATGGGCATTCAATGCAAGTATCTCGAGATCACGAGTATTTATATAATCTGACGCGGGGAATACGTGAGCAGTCGTGAGGTGATGGTGTTATATGATTTGATGGCTGATGATGCGAAAACGGCACTTAAGGAGTGTGAAAGAATGTTAATACGAAATAATAAACGAGGAAGAGCTAGAGTCGAAAAAATAAAACGAATCAAACGATCATTAGTAGATTTCTATTGTCTTATACATATAAATATATAAATAATATGGCTGTTGATAATACTATTATTATTATTATTATTTTTATTATTATTATTAATAATTATTGATATTATAAAAAATTATTGCTACAATTACCATTATTATATTATTGGTATTTTATAATAAAAGTCTGTACAAAATGAAAAATGAACGATTGACATAATTGTATGCCTGTACAATGTATGACAGCGCTTATTTTATTCTAGCCATAGTCAAACATCACTGATCATTCATTGGATATCCTCCTAGTTGTTATATATTACTTATATGGAGTTTCCTGAAAAATAGATAATGAAAAAGAAATAAAACAAACAGATTTAACAATGTCATGTGCACAGTCATACATAATTGAAAGCGATACCCAGGGTGCATGAACTGTGCCAATGAGCACACTCTCATTTAATACATGCATCATCTATTATATATATTTATTTATAGATCATTTTTCGAGACTTATTCGCGTCAATTGAACTCATTTTTTTTGTATGAAACGAATAAAAAAATCAAAAGATATTATATGTATATATATATATATATATATATATATATAATACAAAGTCGCGTTCTAGACAATGTTGTTTCTCTATAAGACTATTACAAGTGCCAAAGATTTGACCCAAGGACTAATCACTCTTAAAATCGTTTTTATGGTAAAAAAATCCTCATTTTATGTCTGGTTTCTATCATAAAGAATAAGATCTTTTATTTTTAAAAACGATGCTTTCAGCAGCACTCGTCTTAAATTTTACATAAATCATATAAATAGTAGTTTTACATTTGAATGGTAAATTTTTCATATTATGACAAATTATAAGTAAATGCAACGATCAGTCGCTTATACAAAATGTCCGTAAAAGTTGGGTCTTGTTAAAGCAAAACGAAAATAAAAAAAATGAACGCTTGAGCATAACTCGCTTAAACCCCAAAAATCGACTATTTTCAAATTCTCATTCTATTACATATCTTGTACTAACCTATAAAAGTAAGGAAAGACCATTCCGATGTCTTTTAATATACAAAAAAAAAACGAACTGAGACTAATCTACCAAATTTTTATTACCGATTCACTAGTTGAAAATAACTTTGATAATCAACCAAAGGAATTAATATTTAATTATGTAAGTATTTAAAGTTTAGGTAAAAATAAATCCTTAGTCAATATTTCAATCGCTAAGACTTTTTTCATTAAAATCTTTTATACCTTGTAATCCTAGTTTTTATAATATTAGTATTTTATAATACTAGTTTTTGGAGTGATTAACCTCTTGGATATTACTTTTCGAAGGCTGAAAATACGTATGACCGTAAACATCAACCTTGTCCGTTTCATGTTATGTGACAGACAATTAAAAGTCGATCAACATGACTTATTTCTAACAAGACAAGGTCGCTTTACGATTTTAGACGACCAGTAGAATTACTATATCTAATGTTCGAATTCGAAATTAGGAAACGCGTAATTAGAAAAAATGTTAGTACTCTCCAAAATGAATGTTTTAAGACGATATGGCGTTTCCAAGTATTATATATCGAACACAGTCAATTAAATAAATTGACATCGTTTAAAACCAACTACTTGTAGCAACAAGTTTATTCACATTGTCTTTCCTCTTATCCTTGTTTCGCCTATATATTTTTTTATCTTAAAAAAATAAGGATTATTATTTATTATTTAAAATATTTAAATGTAATATTATTAAAAAAATTAAGGATATTATTAATTTATTAATTTATTTCACAAAGTACAAACTATGAGCATGGACTCATTTGATGCGCCTGATCATTGTGTACGAGAATATGTATCCAAAAATAGAGTTTAGAGAAGATAAAAAGAAGACATAGAAAGAATAAGACTACGAAAGAAAATGAGAGTGGAAAAAATATATACTTTTAGTAGCCAGTCAACTCAGCAAACGTTGAATCCAAATCGTCGCAGATATATTTATATTTTTCTTTTTCCTTACGAAGTCGCTCTGCAATATAAACAAATATTCAAATCCATACTATCATACTAATATATATGAAATACTTCTTAAACTCGAATTTTCTCACCTTCCCTTAAATCAAGTTCCGTTAAATAAGATTTTACAGATTTTTCCGCAAATGTCGCTCGTTTTTCAGTTTCGTTCAATCTAGTTTTCAAATTTTTTAGTTGTCCTTTAAATTCTTCGACACGTTGATTTGCCTAAATAAAAATAAAAAAAAAAATATAAAAATAAATATTCTAACTCACAATTACGATACTACCATGAACAAAATTTCGTACATCCATACCTTTTCTTCCGAGACTTCCAATGATTTAAGAATATTCCCAACTATAAAAAGTTTATCCTCTTTTTCACTTATTTTACTAGAATAAATCATGAATTACGTTACAACTAAAAAATATTTTATGACATACAAGTAGTAAAATATTTTAAATGAATTACTTAAATCAACGGATCAATTTACTATAGAAAAGTTATTTACTATATTAATTAAAGGACTTTGATAACCAACAAATTTTTGTAATTTAACATACGACTCAGTGCTTTTCATTCTTTCCTCCACAGTCTCAAGTTCATCCTCAACTAGAGCCAGCTGCCTAGATATTTTTTCAGACTTCGTATCAGCATCTTCAGCCTCGACTCGTGCCTCCTGCAATTGTGCTGTTAGGTAATCCATTCTTTCCTCGTCCAGCTTACTGCGATTCTCTAGGACCCTACAAATTCTGCGCGCGCAACGCCCCCACAAAATGTAAGTGACGTTGTCTCTCCATAAAAAGTTAGTGGATAATTAGAGAATAGGAAAAAATAAAAAAAAACAGAGGGGAGTGCACAACCTTTTTGCATCCTCAGCCGTATGGAGTGCTTGCGCGAGTTTCGTTTGGGCAATTGTTCGACGC